GCTGTGTACATGAGAGTTTGCCTTCTTGGTGGTATTTCATTGACAATTTTGCGGATCTGAGGTTCAAATCCCATGTCAAGCATTCTATCAGCCTCATCAAGCACAAGAAGAGAAACCTGCCTAAAATCAATTCTCTTCATTTCAAGGATGTCATTGAGCCGACCAGGAGTTGCCACCACAACATCCACTCCTCGATCCAGTTCCTTTAACTGAGGGCCTTTTGGAGCACCACCATACAAGCACTGAAACAAAAGAATGAAACGATCTTTTTTTCCATCCAGCATGTAAAAAATTCAATTTAGAAGAATGTAGAAGTAAAGAAAAAGAGGAATCACAACTCACCGTGCAAGAGACTCTAGATGATCGGCCAAACTTCATTGCTTCATCCTGGATTTGGGTAGCAAGCTCCCGAGTTGGAGCCAAAACCAACACAGTGGGACCATTGAGAGGATTATTTTGCCGTCGCCTTAGATGAATGAATGCAGGGATCAGATATCCCAATGTTTTGCCAGAACCAGTCTTGGCAATCGCAACTATGTCCCTATTTAGTAGAGCGATAGGCCATGTCTGTGCCTGAATCGGAGTGGGAGCAGAGAAACCAGCAAAATGTATCTGAAACAAATTTATGTAAACAATAAGCCTCTGAAAGAGAAATAATTAAGAAACTCAAACCAAGTTTCGACATAGTAAAATAAGAAAAACCAACTAAGAGGGAACTTTTCCGCTCTTTGAAAGGATAAAGATAAAAGGAAAAAAACGAAAGAAAGATTGCTCAAGAAAATCCATGGGTGTGCAGTTGCTTACTGAAAGCAACTCGAGGCAACAAAAGGGAGCATTAAAAAGAGAAGAGGCGGAGCCAATAAGCTGGAAACCCCAGTCACATAGAGTGTGAATTGCATGAGGGACAACCACCCTACAACAATCTGCCAGAGGAAGGCTCCGACTATTAATGTTGCAGCCTCAAGCACTCAGAATATTCTTGCAAAAGTATGAGATAGCAGTGCAGCGTACGACATGTGCTCCTCCTCTGGAGCAGATATCGCACCTGCGACAAGTGAAACTTATAAGCTAAAGCATGAATTTTGCAAATGAAACGTAAAAGTCAAGAAAAAAGATGGATTTCTAAGATCTCCGAGGCACTTATAAACAATTTATCACAGTTTGGGTTGAAAATACTTACCTCATGTAGTATCTCTGGCGGAAAACCAGTGGCTTCAAATGTCATGAAAGGAGCAGGAACATTGTCGCCCTGAATAGGAATTGGGTTTATTAGATTTCAGTAACTATTGACTTGTACAAAATAATATTGGACCGAAGGAACTGCCAAATAAGAGGGAATATGGAAACAGCTAAAACAGCTTACTACGCAGGCTCGACAAAAAAATATATGTGCTTTACTTTTTCCAACCGGCATCAATTCTTACAAGTCTCGTGACCAAGAAATATCATAATCACAGAGTATGTTCAAGCAACGGATGCCTTAATTGCAGTTCAATCATACCCTTGGTGACGTAACATGAACAGAAATGCAAGATGATATATTTTAACTGTTGAATTCATGAGAAGAACTAGGAAGATTATCTCATTGAGGCCGTTGGGAAAGTAATAATGAAAGAGCATGTTTATTTTCAAAAACCAGACACTACTAAGGCGTATTCCAATAAACTACCAGAGACTTTAAGAGGGAGATATTTAGATCTGCGATGTCCAAACCTACATCACATTGATATCTTTTTCAATCATGGAAAAGGAAGCAAGACGTGCATGTTCCGTTCATTAAACCATGCATCTGATTATTCTGACAGTAAAAACTTGAGTGGCAGCTATACAGATTGGGTACCAAAGCCAAATGGGTAAAACTGAAACCCGTTGCTTGTGCTGCAGGGAATATTCTAGAACAGCCAGGACAAATTCAAGATTTTTTAAAGGACAAAAGCGGAAGGCAACATGAATTACAAGGGTAAAAGGAATAGGAAAATTGTTGAGGTAAATCTTTATTACTTTAGGTAGTGCGCACTATTAATAGAAAATTTACAATTATAAAGGGTTTCATTTGCAAAAAATTGGGCCATTTATTTATTTTTCTTATGGAGCGCCACCCCTATCCATATCTCAAGAACTGGCTGCAGCCATTCAACTATCAAGAAATGTTTCAGCAGTGGTAAATTTCGATCTGTGACTATGAAAATTTAAGTGAGAGATAAGCTCACTTCTTATCCATCTTTCCAGAAATCTTCTCTTCAGCTCTTCCTGGTCTACCAGCAACAAAGAAAGTCCTGAAAATGTCCACGCCCATATCCAAGCCATATCATGTGAACATGAGTATTCTAGGACAATATGCACATGTTCTGATACAACCGGACTACATACCTCACTTATTTTCTTTCCTCCAGTTAGAAGGTTACCACATCCATCAATTTTCCAAAAAAATCAGATCTGTGATTTTTTAAAGTACATTATGGCAATGAGTTGCTTTACCAGCTTTCTTCAAGATTCTGCTTATAGCTTTTGCTTCATATGATTCACAATTACATCTACGAATGTATCATGGAAGCAGAAAACTTTCTACCTGATGCAGATGATGGGACATTCATTCATCATACATAATTAGAAAGATATGAATACAAACCGTGGCTGTTACTTCATGCTGTTGACAGTAAACCTCAGCTGCTGAGAGAGGAATAGCATCTGAAGGGCCCATCTTTACAGGAGGCCACACAAGAGAATTGCCCGGAAATGGTGGGTTGACAGTTGCATGACTGTAGTTCCAATGCAATGGAGGCCCTACTCGGCTATTAGATTGACCTGGAAGATTTATAGCAACATTTTGAGGGGGGAAATCATGCATCCTCGTTTCCTGATAAAATGTAGCACCAGCATCAACAAAGATCCAAAGAAAGAACCCTCCAAATGTCTTCCACTAGAGACATGAGGAGTGCAGTGTTACAAGAAAACTAATCAGAATCTTATCAACTGTAAGAAGACGGGGTAAATATATGTGGGTTCTCCATCTTAAAATCTACCTTCTATACTATTTATAAATCATTCAATATGCCCTAGAAGTAACTATAGGAGGCAAAAATTATACTCGAAATCCAGATCAACGATAACTGATTCAAGGAGTAACTAGCCTGCTGATTTCTTGGCGTGGGTAGTGCTGCTAGCTTGGGATGCTGAGGTATAGCATGGCCATCTTTACTGGTGTTATAATATTCATTTCCAGTTCTTCCAAGAGGGTTTTCTTCGTACCGTGTCTCTGATCTGGTGGGGGGCAGATTCTGCTGCTGCCCATGAATAATCCCAGAGCCCATCACATTTTGAAACCTAGAACCACCAGATTGGGGGGCCAAATCTGCTCCACTCGGCTGCGTATTGACAGCAGAGGGACCATACTGCGTATTTTGACTAGGCTGAACACGAATCTGTGGTGCATGAATGGAATTTGCCCCAGCAGATAAGTTTTGTGCAGATGGTGTCCCAGTTTGCTGAATGTGGGCTGGAGAAAACGCAGTTTGCTTCACTTGATGAATTTCAAGATCATATCTCGGAGGGAATCCCACTTTATGCTCTTGTTGACGGGGATTCTGTTGCCCCTGCATTAAATGTTGAGATTGTTGTGAGGAAGCTGGTGTAGTCATTTACAAGTCATACTATGATAATTGCATAAAGGGCAAGAAACGGTAAAATGAACAGAAGCCCAACTAAAAGTTAAAATCCAGTTATTGACTTTTCTTTTTTTTACCAGTTCTGATCTACAACTTGAAAAAATTAATTTTCTTCAATCATAAAGCAGTAATTTTTTTATTTGATCTTCATTAGAAAAGACGAATATTGTCACAATTTACCTGTGTGATAGACTTATTTGCAGCAAGTTCGTCGACGCTGCCAATGTTCACTTGGACTGGATTAACAAGCAAATCGCTTGCTATTTTTCTCACTTCTTTGGGCCATGTCGCTGTGTACATGAGAGTTTGCCTTCTTGGTGGTATTTCATTGACAATTTTGCGGATCTGAGGTTCAAATCCCATGTCAAGCATTCTATCAGCCTCATCAAGCACAAGAAGAGAAACCTGCCTAAAATCAATTCTCTTCATTTCAAGGATGTCATTGAGCCGACCAGGAGTTGCCACCACAACATCCACTCCTCGATCCAGTTCCTTTAACTGAGGGCCTTTTGGAGCACCACCATACAAGCACTGAAACAAAAGAATGAAACGATCTTTTTTTCCATCCAGCATGTAAAAAATTCAATTTAGAAGAATGTAGAAGTAAAGAAAAAGAGGAATCACAACTCACCGTGCAAGAGACTCTAGATGATCGGCCAAACTTCATTGCTTCATCCTGGATTTGGGTAGCAAGCTCCCGAGTTGGAGCCAAAACCAACACAGTGGGACCATTGAGAGGATTATTTTGCCGTCGCCTTAGATGAATGAATGCAGGGATCAGATATCCCAATGTTTTGCCAGAACCAGTCTTGGCAATCGCAACTATGTCCCTATTTAGTAGAGCGATAGGCCATGTCTGTGCCTGAATCGGAGTGGGAGCAGAGAAACCAGCAAAATGTATCTGAAACAAATTTATGTAAACAATAAGCCTCTGAAAGAGAAATAATTAAGAAACTCAAACCAAGTTTCGACATAGTAAAATAAGAAAAACCAACTAAGAGGGAACTTTTCCGCTCTTTGAAAGGATAAAGATAAAAGGAAAAAAACGAAAGAAAGATTGCTCAAGAAAATCCATGGGTGTGCAGTTGCTTACTGAAAGCAACTCGAGGCAACAAAAGGGAGCATTAAAAAGAGAAGAGGCGGAGCCAATAAGCTGGAAACCCCAGTCACATAGAGTGTGAATTGCATGAGGGACAACCACCCTACAACAATCTGCCAGAGGAAGGCTCCGACTATTAATGTTGCAGCCTCAAGCACTCAGAATATTCTTGCAAAAGTATGAGATAGCAGTGCAGCGTACGACATGTGCTCCTCCTCTGGAGCAGATATCGCACCTGCGACAAGTGAAACTTATAAGCTAAAGCATGAATTTTGCAAATGAAACGTAAAAGTCAAGAAAAAAGATGGATTTCTAAGATCTCCGAGGCACTTATAAACAATTTATCACAGTTTGGGTTGAAAATACTTACCTCATGTAGTATCTCTGGCGGAAAACCAGTGGCTTCAAATGTCATGAAAGGAGCAGGAACATTGTCGCCCTGAATAGGAATTGGGTTTATTAGATTTCAGTAACTATTGACTTGTACAAAATAATATTGGACCGAAGGAACTGCCAAATAAGAGGGAATATGGAAACAGCTAAAACAGCTTACTACGCAGGCTCGACAAAAAAATATATGTGCTTTACTTTTTCCAACCGGCATCAATTCTTACAAGTCTCGTGACCAAGAAATATCATAATCACAGAGTATGTTCAAGCAACGGATGCCTTAATTGCAGTTCAATCATACCCTTGGTGACGTAACATGAACAGAAATGCAAGATGATATATTTTAACTGTTGAATTCATGAGAAGAACTAGGAAGATTATCTCATTGAGGCCGTTGGGAAAGTAATAATGAAAGAGCATGTTTATTTTCAAAAACCAGACACTACTAAGGCGTATTCCAATAAACTACCAGAGACTTTAAGAGGGAGATATTTAGATCTGCGATGTCCAAACCTACATCACATTGATATCTTTTTCAATCATGGAAAAGGAAGCAAGACGTGCATGTTCCGTTCATTAAACCATGCATCTGATTATTCTGACAGTAAAAACTTGAGTGGCAGCTATACAGATTGGGTACCAAAGCCAAATGGGTAAAACTGAAACCCGTTGCTTGTGCTGCAGGGAATATTCTAGAACAGCCAGGACAAATTCAAGATTTTTTAAAGGACAAAAGCGGAAGGCAACATGAATTACAAGGGTAAAAGGAATAGGAAAATTGTTGAGGTAAATCTTTATTACTTTAGGTAGTGCGCACTATTAATAGAAAATTTACAATTATAAAGGGTTTCATTTGCAAAAAATTGGGCCATTTATTTATTTTTCTTATGGAGCGCCACCCCTATCCATATCTCAAGAACTGGCTGCAGCCATTCAACTATCAAGAAATGTTTCAGCAGTGGTAAATTTCGATCTGTGACTATGAAAATTTAAGTGAGAGATAAGCTCACTTCTTATCCATCTTTCCAGAAATCTTCTCTTCAGCTCTTCCTGGTCTACCAGCAACAAAGAAAGTCCTGAAAATGTCCACGCCCATATCCAAGCCATATCATGTGAACATGAGTATTCTAGGACAATATGCACATGTTCTGATACAACCGGACTACATACCTCACTTATTTTCTTTCCTCCAGTTAGAAGGTTACCACATCCATCAATTTTCCAAAAAAATCAGATCTGTGATTTTTTAAAGTACATTATGGCAATGAGTTGCTTTACCAGCTTTCTTCAAGATTCTGCTTATAGCTTTTGCTTCATATGATTCACAATTACATCTACGAATGTATCATGGAAGCAGAAAACTTTCTACCTGATGCAGATGATGGGACATTCATTCATCATACATAATTAGAAAGATATGAATACAAACCGTGGCTGTTACTTCATGCTGTTGACAGTAAACCTCAGCTGCTGAGAGAGGAATAGCATCTGAAGGGCCCATCTTTACAGGAGGCCACACAAGAGAATTGCCCGGAAATGGTGGGTTGACAGTTGCATGACTGTAGTTCCAATGCAATGGAGGCCCTACTCGGCTATTAGATTGACCTGGAAGATTTATAGCAACATTTTGAGGGGGGAAATCATGCATCCTCATTTCCTGATAAAATGTAGCACCAGCATCAACAAAGATCCAAAGAAAGAACCCTCCAAATGTCTTCCAGTAGAGACATGAGGAGTGCAGTGTTACAAGAAAACTAATCAGAATCTTATCAACTGTAAGAAGACGGGGTAAATATATGTGGGTTCTCCATCTTAAAATCTACCTTCTATACTATTTATAAATCATTCAATATGCCCTAGAAGTAACTATAGGAGGCAAAAATTATACTCGAAATCCAGATCAACGATAACTGATTCAAGGAGTAACTAGCCTGCTGATTTCTTGGCGTGGGTAGTGCTGCTAGCTTGGGATGCTGAGGTATAGCATGGCCATCTTTACTGGTGTTATAATATTCATTTCCAGTTCTTCCAAGAGGGTTTTCTTCGTACCGTGTCTCTGATCTGGTGGGGGGCAGATTCTGCTGCTGCCCATGAATAATCCCAGAGCCCATCACATTTTGAAACCTAGAACCACCAGATTGGGGGGCCAAATCTGCTCCACTCGGCTGCGTATTGACAGCAGAGGGACCATACTGCGTATTTTGACTAGGCTGAACACGAATCTGTGGTGCATGAATGGAATTTGCCCCAGCAGATAAGTTTTGTGCAGATGGTGTCCCAGTTTGCTGAATGTGGGCTGGAGAAAACGCAGTTTGCTTCACTTGATGAATTTCAAGATCATATCTCGGAGGGAATCCCACTTTATGCTCTTGTTGACGGGGATTCTGTTGCCCCTGCATTAAATGTTGAGATTGTTGTGAGGAAGCTGGTGGCCCTTGGGGATGCATATTCTGTTGATAGGTGTACTGGGTCTGTTGTGGAGTCAGTGGGTAACCATGTGGATGTCTCATTTGTGCACCCATATAAATTTGTCCTTGCGGGCCGTGTGGCATTTGATGCATACCCTGATAAGACGCTTGTTGCACTGGCTGCATAGGTACATGCTGCATTGACTGTGGATGTACTTGCTGCCCTGGCAATGTAGGCATTTGCCCCAATGAGGGTGGCATTTGCCGACCTG